CTACTTATTTTCCAACTGAAGACACTGTAGAGGCACGATGTTTTGATGGGACATGCACAACAGAGGATGACACTTTACCAGCACCACTTCTCAGTCCCACCCCAAGCTTTTGTTCAGCAGGAGCGAGCCCTGGCCAGGCAGAGCACACAGACACGGGCTGGGAAACATGCACGTTATGTGCTGTGCTGTGCCAGAGCCTGGATGCCTTTTGACACCAGCAGGTGCATAAAAAGATGCAAGAGTAGGGCGCATCATTGATCACATACCCTGAAGGACTCATGGCTCACAGGGACCTGTGAGCCCTGCACCTCTTCTGGGGATGTGGAACACCAAACACCCGCACGTTCAGCCAGGAAGAAGGATGCAGAGACCTCAATTTCCCCAGCAAGGCGGTACTTCAGGGGAAATAGTACACAAGGGAAGACAAAGAGGTTCCCCCCAGCTGTAGCCAGCGTAGTCTCCCTTCATCCCAACAGCCTACATGTGCTGCTTCTGTTCCTACCACTGGAGGGGTCATTTCTGGTTCCTATTTGGCATATGAATGCCTGTAGTACTTCCAGCTAACATTTATTTATTAGCAGAGCTCTCATTTTCCAAAAACTTCTTCCCGAAGCAGAAAGCCCCTGCTCAGGAAGTCTCCAGCTCATGCCATCTTCAGGTGCTTTCCGTCATCGTCCTCTACCACCAGACAAATTCACATGGCCCATTTTTGGAGTAAGACGAAGGACTCGCAGTTGGATTAATGCACTCAACGCTCTGCAATTCCAGCCCGAGGCTCTCCCCAGGCACCTGCAGCAGGAGCCTCGCCTCGCTGACCACCAGCCCCATGCAGCAGAGCTGCCGACGTGCAACACGCAAGGTGAGCAGCACGGGCCCTGAGACCCACAAGGACACCAGCCTCGCTCTCAGTGCTGTCATCATGAGAAAAATGGTAGCTGTAGCTCTCAGGGATGGGTCACCGGTGTTTCCTTTTTATTTTTATTTTAAATTGATGTCTGCATTTCATCAGTATGAGGAACGCACATGTCCGGGAGGCGCTGAGTGAGCCCGGCAGAGCTGCTCCCTGGGCAGGAGCTGCCCCCAGGGCACAGCAGCTCCCAGAGCCATGGCACGGTCCTGGGGCTGCAGGCACAGCTCCTCTGCTGATGCAGCCCCAGCTCCTGCCTTCGGTGCTGCCTCTCTCTGCATCCCCGCCTCGCAGCGGACACAAGGACTGCACGATTTCATTCCCTGCTCCCAAAGAAGGGCGAGACAAGTGCCTCCGTCCAGCACAAGCAGCCGGGTATCAAAGGCTCTTCACGGACATCTCAGGAGACCTCTGTAAAGCAAACGGCTCCCACCTCAGAGCCATCACGCTCTCCACCTTCAGCCTGTGATGCTCAGCAGCGTAAAGGCAAGGAGTAGAAGGGGAGGTCCAAGGGGACCCAAGCGGAAAGACGGCTCTTTTAAAACAGCAAACACTTGCCCTATTTTAGCGCTTCCCTTTGGAAAATACGAATCAAGGACTTTTACTGCTATCTTGGGTTTTGCAGAAAAACGTCCTGCCCTAGCCAATTTCGAGGAGGACGGATGTGGCCGTGGGGCAGAGGCACTGCTCTGCCCAGCGATGCTCCCTGGGCTCTTTTCGGGCAGTTTCTGATGAATCCCCCCAAGCTCACTGCAGCTGCTCAGCGTCCAGCGTGCATTACATTTCCTACAACCACGAGCAAAGGCTGCTTTCTTCTAACAACTGCCCCCCTGTGCCTTCCCCTTCATCCCTCTGTTTCAAGACAGCAGTGCCAGCTGCTCACCCTGCAAAGCCCCAAAATCCTTCACACACACCTACCAGGGATGAGCAAACCAAGGATGGTCCCTGCACACTGGGGAAGCATCACAAGCTGCGCAGGAGGCACCCAACCTGCCCCTTCTACCCACACCAAAATCACTTGAAACCTTATTTTTAAAATCCCAACAAAGCACTAGCAACTATTTTCTCCCTAAAATCAGCTTCAGTAAGATCAGCCCTGCACAGAAGGGACGCAGCCGGCTACGGGCTGAGACACCGGCACGGGCTGCCCCGGCAGCACAGCGCCAGCTCCTGCCGCTCCCGTCAAAAGCAGAGGGAGATAAATTGAGGAGACCTAACTACAGCCCGAATTCACGTCTCTGTCAAAGAAGAGTGGCTGACAGCTATTTTTGGAACCGGTCTCCATCATATTAATTCAACGTCTGGTTGAGGTTGTCTCATTTGCAACAAAACTGGCTGGTAAATATTAACCTTGGGCTTTGTTGAAATTCTCCTTGCAGAAATTACGAGGGATCGGGTGGAAGAGATGAAGCACAAAAGACAACTTCGCAGCAAACATCAGGCAGATCCTCCCGCATCACCGTTTCATTTACAGAAGCTATTGCAATACCCTGCAAAGCAAACGGCATGAAGGGGCCGCGGATCATGCCTGGCAAAATTAAGGGTAAAAGACATCAATGCCGAGAAGCCAACTGCAAACGAAATAGGGATGGACAGATGATCGTCCACAGTGCAGCGGGACTTTCCACCTGCCCACCGCGCATCTGCTGGAAATAGGTTTTAAGATCAGAGGGAGCACAGGCCAGCAGCTGGCTATAGATATATATTAGACAAGAAAAGCAGTTTAAATGTATTTACAGTGACAGAACCTCTCCTCTTATTTGAGCGTAGATGTTAAACAGATGCTAAAGCTGCTCGCTTCCACCCTAGAGACGGCTGCATTTCAATGATCACCGAAATGATTCATCAGAAATGTGCAAACCCAGGAAAGCCTGTCAGGTACTCCGGGATTTCTTCAGAGAAATGGTGTTATATAGGAAGATGGACAGTAAAAAGGCTTGGCTTTATTGCAGCAGTAATTAGCACTGCCATAAATCCTATTAGTCTTTTTTCATCTCCCCTAATTTCAGCGTGAGGATACAAATGTTCTCTCAGCAGCAAGATGATTTCAGCACCTAAATCACCAGCACAAGGAGCTTTGGGATTTCATTCAAACGCGGATTCCTGAGTTCAGCAGGAAATAAAGCTAATGCTTCCTCACAGAGAAACCCTGCACTTCCCCGGCCTCATCTTTCAGCTCTGCTTCTGCCACAAAGCTCAACCCCCAGCCCAGCCCTGCCTGCGACCCTTCCTCTCACCACCGTTCATCCCCATCGCCCTCGTTACACCCAGGGTTTCTGTAGCTGCATGTGCTCAGCCGCCTTGACCAGTTTGGTGGGGATTCAAACTGGCCAAAGGCCCCCAGAGTGGAATTTACCCCGTTAACACGACCTGCACTGCCTCATGGCATTGCCCTGTCCTTACGGAGATCACCAGTGCACACCCGTGGTCCTGGAGCAGGAGCACAGCAGGGCACCTGCCTCACCCACTCCTGCCATCCCATTTCCTTCGGATTCAGACCCGGTGAGCTGCTCCATGCTCTCTCGCTGCAAGAATCACGGCAGAGACCACAAGAGGATGCATCGGGCTCGCTCCCAGCACAGCCCTCTTACGGACCATGGCAGAAGAGCCAGTCTTGCTGTGCATCGCCCGATTGCTCGAGCATCCTCTGACACCCACTGCATTTCTCCACCTCCAGCTCAAGGGCTTCTGTCCTTGTTGGGGAATTTCTGCAGCCCGGGATGCTTTCATCAGAAAGCTTTTCAAGTTACTCACTTAGTGCCGTGCTAATGCACAGCTTAAAAAATAAAATAAAATAAAGACACATACACACACGCATAAAAAAAAACTTTCAACTCTTAGAAACTTATTTTCTGATATTTGACCAGACATCAGACGCTGCTCCGCTGAGAGTGACTAATGACCTGCTTTCTGTGAGAGGGGGGAAAAACTTAATTATGTCCATTAAATTACTTCAAATATTTTTCCTTGGAGAATATGAATTATTTAAACTCAACACAGAGAAACCTGAAACATTAGCAAAAGCCTTCTGGGACTCACTATGTAAATTCCCACTCCAAACAGATGGGGAAAGCGTGGCGAGCTGCCATGCAGCCACTGAAGCAATGAACAATGCCGAGATTTCAATTCGATAGTTTTAATAAGGTCTTTTAAAGGAGGGCACCGAGCAAAAAGCCACTAGTGGGGCAGTAAAAAGCCTTGCTGGGGTCAGGGGGAAGGGGCACAGCGGGCACCACTGACACCTCCTGCAGCCTCACCCAGCTCCGTAAAAGCAGACCGGGTTCCTCCAGCAAAGCTCGCTCCCCTACCACAGCCCCAAAGCACCCAGTACCTGTCTGGGCCATATTTACCCACATTTCATCCATCTCCAGCCATGGTGCTGCGAGGCTGCAGGCTCTGAGCAGCTTCTCCAGAGGCCACAGACCCAGCCAACAGATCCGAGACACCAGAGTGGGCTTCTCCACCCAAAACATATTCACACCAGTACAGTCAAAGTGGTCCCAGTCACACCAGTCCCTCCCTACAGGCCCCAGGTGTTCCTCAGGAGGGCATCAGCAGGAGGAGGCCTCAATCTGCACGTACCCCTTGCCCCCACAGGCACACACCCCACGTCCCATGGGCACACGGCCAGAATCACACCCGGCTCCAAGCCAGATCCAAACCCTCACAGCACCACTGGAGAGCCCCCCGTGAAGGCAGGGGTCAGATCTTTTACAGCTGTCATTAAAGGCGACCTCGTGAGCTGTAAAGCCACCACATGATTAAGCTGCATCTAAAAGCACTGCTGTGGGGCTGTTAACGGGCTCAAGTAATTTTACAGCTACCAATAAAGCTCAGGGGAAACGCCTGACTGGCATTCCGAGCGCCGGCACATCCACCCGGCCAACACCACGCTCCAGCCACCAGCAACACCCCCCACGCCCCAGCTGCCACCTTCAGACGAAGCTCGGGCTGTTAGCAGCAGACTCCCAATTAGCTAAATGAACAACATCACCGAGCAAGGGTGCAGCCACCGCTCCAAGCCGTGCTCAGCACCCAGCACACGGGCACAGCGCAGCCACGGGCTGCAAAAGGATGCGAACGGCCACGTTACCTCTGCACCTCCCGTCCCTCTCCTCGAAGCCGGGGCCGCACAGGCACTTCCCGATGGGGACCAGCCACTCTCCCTCGGCGCTGCAGTGCATCCGCGGGGGGTTATCCACGTCCACCTGGGCGTGCTCCACGCAAGCTCCTTTAACTTCCACCAGCGTGGCGAAGGCCGCCTCTGCCACCGTGTCCGGAAAGAGCGCCAGGTTCTGCAGGGTGGCGAGGCACTTCTTGTAATAGACCCGCACGGAGACCAGCGCCACGCAGGCGCCCACGTCCTGGAAGCCCAGGTGGAAGCCTTGCTTGCTCAGGTGGCCGATCTCTCGCAGCTCCGTGTTCAGCTTCATCTTCCGCTCGCCCAGGTCCCCCTGCGTGAAGCTCTCGTCCGCAGCGATGGTGTCGATCTTCGTGTGCTTGCTCTCGTGGATGTTACGGCCCAGGTCGGAGTCGGACTCGACGTAATACAGATTGAAGGTCTCCTTGCAGGTGCCCATCACGCCCGGGATGCTGTTGCAGTCCCGTAGGGTGAACTTCAGCTCGATGAAGATCCTCTGGCCATCGCGCCTGGCGATCCAGCCCGTCTGCAGCCAGTTGTTCTGGTTGGGCTCCATGACGTTGCAGACCTGGTAGGTGCGGATCGGCTTGTAGTTCTCATCCACCCCGCTGATTTCTTCCCACTGTGGAAAGAGCACAAAGGCAGTGAGAGCCCAGGGGCTGCCGTCAGCGAGAGCCAGCCGCCCAAGCAGAAACACAGCCATCGCTATAAATACCACCACCAAAAGCCTCTCCACCTACCCGGCCATGACAGCACAGACACTTGAAGTCCCCGATCCACCAAGAGCACGAGCTGTGCTGCAGGACCACCCAACACAGACATCCATCCACAGACAACCCCGGGCCAGCATGAGAGCAGACATCAGCTACTGACCAGCCCACAGGAGGCCAGCATCCCCCTGTATGCTTGGGATTTTCCATCCCCAGGGTCACACATCAGCACAGCAGGATGCAGCAGCAGCTCATCTGGGTGCTGAGCCACCCAGGGAAGGCAAAAACAGCCCAGTGCACGCAAGGGCAGTCATGCCACAGCCCAAGGACAAGCACCTTGACCAGCAGCAGCTTCTGTCATGCAAAGTTTTAGCTGGAACAGGACAAATCCTCTGCCTGCCAAGCACCAACGGTTTTCCCCAAAGTTACCAGCAGAGATTCTGATTAGCAAAACGATGATTCAAACCTCACAGCCTCAAGGATGACCTGGCAACTTCCCAAAGCAATTCTTTCTGGGGGTAGATTTATGCCAGATTGCCAAACGCACCCAAAACAGAGTTTCTTCTGCAGACTAACAGCTGGGGAACGCAGATGACTCCAGGATGTATTGCCATCCACCCTAAATGCTTTGCTTCCTTTCTGGAAAATAAACCTGAAGCAGCGAGGAACACAACTCTGTCTTTCTTGCCATTCTCTGTCAAAAGCAGCCAGGGACCAACCCCGGCAGCACAGAAGGGAGCAGATCACACAGCCCCGGTGCGATGCAGGATCCCAACGATCCCATCCCTGTCCCGGCACATCCAAGCACAGCGAGATCCCAACAAATCAAGCTGGGGCACAAACCACAACACACAGGCTTCACTGGCTGGCGTTTATTTGCTTATCACAAGAGCTTAAGATGCGTTCTGGGGAGGCGCTGCACCATTAACACAACCAATACCTGGCCTCTGGCTCTCAGACCCCCTCCACAAGCCAGTGCTCACCCAAAAAGCACCGACTGCTGCCAAGCAGCCACGAGCAGCCCCTCTCCAGCCCCAACACACCAGCCCCACACTCTTACCCCGTTGGATGGGTGCGAGGTCCAGCCCAGCTCTGCTTGCGATTCCTTCGAGTCCAGCAGGACAACTGCAGGGAGGACAACACGTTAACAAGCCAGCTCACCCACGCGTGACTCCCTGCAAAAATCCCACCCCGTGGACAGCTCCTGACCAGGACTGGCACTGCGGGGCTGGGGTAGAGCTGGGGCTGGGGGATGTGCAACCAGCTTGGAGCAGGGTCATCCCAGAGCCCAGTCCCAGCAGGTACCGATGGCACTTTTGAGAGCCAAATTTCCTTGAAAGCCTGTGCCCTGGCTTCTCAATAAATCTTTTTCCACAGAACAGCCAATCCTCTGTGTGACATGAAGATGCATTTCCCCTGAAGTCAGAGTTCCGTGAGCTTCCCACAGGCAGCGAGCAGAATCGCTCCCTGCCCGGCAAGTTGTGCCCTGCCCCGGCTCCACCACGCCGGGCGCCACCCGCATCCTCCGCCGGTCATTCCACCAGCGGGGCCACCCGGTGCCCGCACTGCCGGCGGCGAGGAGCTGCACGTCGGGGGCTTTCGGTGGCACCCCCAGTCCCCTGCAAGAGCGCCGTGAGAGCGGGGACCGCCACAGCCCGGCTGTGCACCGACCCCAGGTGATGCGCACCGGGGAGATGCGCACCGGTACCGGGAGATGCGCCCCGACCCCGTGCGCCCTGCAGCGCCTCCCCAACCCCTCGTTCCTCCGCGCTCCGGTCGCTGCCTCCCGCATCCCAACCCGGCTCTCCACCCTCCCCGCGGTGCCCCGCGCCCCCCCGTTCCTCCGGAGGGCTCCCGAAGGCTCCGCGCTCATCACCGGGGGCTGCGCCGGGATTAGAGAGAAACCCACGGAGCGCCACCGGCACCCGGCACCGAGCCTCGGCGGCACCGGGCGCTGCAGCCACCGGGGTACGGGGCACCGGGACGCGACCGAGGGATACCGGGGAGATACCGGGGGGGTACCGGGGGTCGCGCCCGCCCCCCGCCCGGCTCACCCTGCTCGGCGGCGGCGCGGGGCAGCACCGGCAGCAGCAGCAGCAGCGGCAGCGCCCGGGGGAAGCCGCCGCCGCCGTGCGCCCTGGCCATGGCGCCGCCGACTCCGTGCGCCCCGCGCCGCCGCCGCGCTCCGGCCACCGAGCTCCGCCCCGGGCCCTCTCCGCCAGTCCCCGTCGCCAACCGACGCGGGGGGGGGGCCTCGAGGAGCTACCGGCCAATGGGAAGGACGGGCGGGGCCAGAGCGGGCGGTAGGAGGAGGGAGGTGGTGTTCACTCTGAAGCCTACTGACGGCAGGGAGGTTGCTCCAGGGGGTTTGGGGGCCAGGAGGTGCCCCGGTGGGGCTTTGGGGCGCCTGTCCCTGCTGCCACGGGTCGGGGTTGGCTCCCCATGGGGCTGCTGGAGGCATGCACAGCCCTTGCTGGAGCTGAGATGTGGTGGTCTTGCGGTCACAGCCCTAATTAACTGTGCCGCAGGCTCCCCTCTGGATGAGGTTTGCCTCCTGCATGTCCTGTTCCCATTTTGGGGGGGTCTGCCCTGCTCGACCCCATGCAGCGGGCACTGCATGACCACAGGGACAGGAGAAGGCAGCGGGGCTCAGCTGGCATGAATACACCTACCTGCAGACACCAGGCACGAACAGGAGCCCTGCGCTGCCCCCACCACGCTGGGGTGGGTTCTCAGCCTCTGCCTGCTGCAACCTGCAGTTCAGTGTGTCCAACAGGTCCCTCTGTGCTGATCTCTGCTCCTGCTCTGGCCCCAACACCCCCGTCTATGTTCTTAGTAAATGCACCTGACAAGGTGAGGGCTCTGCAGCGATGCTCACAGGTCTCACTACTGCCTTCACCTGCACCTGGGAGCACCACGTTTGTGTCAAGCCTCTGCTCTGCCTCTCCAGGCTGGAATCAGAGAGGCACTTCCAGCTTCATCTCAAGCTCCCCCAAGCCCAGCAGCTGCTGTACAAGTCAGAGTGGCCAAAAAGGAACACCAGGAAAGCGTAGCCCTGGGCAGGGCAGGTCCTGCACACCCGGCGCTGGGCTGCAGCTTGCAGACAGCCCGTGGGTGCTCACAGACCTGCAGCAGGGAGGAACTCGGCGTGCTTCAGTTATCGCTAACTGTAGGTGTGCAGGTCCTGGCAAAACGTTGACAGGCTGAACGCCCGTCAGCCTCCCGGCTGCTGGCTGTACAACCTGCCGCCAAAGCCTGCTTATGTAGCAACACTTATTCCTGGGGGATGTTCCCCGCGCTGTGATTATGTGCTGTCAAATGTAAAACATTGCAGGTCGGGAATAAAAATATTGAAGCTCCAGCTGAGGCAGCCAGAGCCGAGGGCTGGGTTGGGCATGAAAAGAGAGGTGCAGCAAGGTCTGCTGGAGACAGGAGCACGGTGGCAATGCCCGCAGGAAAGCTGGCAGGGGACACGGCCCTGCAGGAAGAGCAGCAGCTTGAATCGGCACAAATTTGCTGTGCTGAACCATCTTCAAGTGTTAGGCACTAAAGCCTGGGTTCTGCAGTGCCTCATACATGCATAAGTTTACGGGAGCAAGTAGCCTATTGAAGCCTGCTGCCAATCAGGCTCAGATTTGCACATTGCATAATTAGATTAATTAGATATGGTGATTGCAGTTCATTTGCCTTGTGCCCCAGCTTCCAAGTACACTCTTCCTGAAGTCAACGAGACCACCCGTGTGAATAAATTTAACCATATGCAGAAGTCCCTGCAGGATTGGGAATCCTGAGCCACCTAGGCACCAGCTCCAACCCCTGAGGGCAATGTTTCTTTAATCTCATCTTTCCAGGCATTTTTGTATCACCTAAGGCACATTTGCTTATGGGAAGTGTGGGAGGCACTGCGTCTGAGAACAAATCTGCTGGAAACCAGAGGCTCCTGGCCAGTTGAGAGGCAGGTGCTGCTGCTGCGGCCATTCTGCACAAAGGGGGGAAACATTTTTCAAGCCCAACGGGTATTCACAATCAGATTTGACAATATGGACCTCTAATATTTCTGCTTGCTCTCCATGCCTGCCTGCACTCCCCTCCTGCCCCGAAGCACTGACCCCATGTACTCCAGCTCAGCCCTTCCAACCACGGTGCAACTGCAGCATTAGCTTTAGCCCAGCAGATCCAGGGGTAGGGATCTGTAAAGGGACACAGGCAGCCCAGCTGGATGCCTGCAGCCAGAAGGTGTCTCCAGCCCTCTCCATGTCTCAGACCCCCACCAGGAACCACTGCATTTCCTCCGTGTTAAGCCAGGCAGCAAGCAAACCCCCATCCATTTATCAGCACCCTTCCCAACGGGAGAGCTCAGCTCAGACCCACAGCCCAGCCCCTGGCACACCCCAGGAGAGTCAGGTAACAAGCTCACAGATTAAAATTTTCCCTTTATCCCATCACAGGGCAGGGAAGCAAACGACAGGGTTTATTTATAATCTTCCTCGAGTGGGAACCGGAAGAAGTGACCCATTATTACTGGAGGTTTTTCCAGCCACCCAGGAAGAAAAGTGATATTTAGTTGTCGTTAAAGCCTCATAACTGCATAACAATTTCATGCTATGTTAACTTCGAGGTTTTCTTTCACATATAAATTTTTAAGGAGTAAAATAGAAAAACCCAGGCACTTGACCTTTAATCACAGTTATTTGTGTGATCAGTCAAGTGTGGGAAAAAGCTAGTTTGTGCTTGAAAGATGCCCTTTAAAACTAGATTGCTCTAATATGACACACGACTCACATGCGGTAATATATGGGATCTTGCTTACCAGCCTCTGGGGCACAACAGCCTCCCATTTAGCATTCACACACAGGATCTCGCTGCTGGTACATTGGAAGGTATTAATGTCATGCACCAAATCAATACCGACCCTCGGGACAGCTCCATTTACCAGCGAGAGACCCGAGGGAGGTGTGTGCCTTCACTTCATTGAGGAAACTAACAGGGAAGAGGATTTCCAACGTGTATGGAGGATTTGATGCTCGAGATATTTCACTGGGAGAAGAGTATATCATGCTAATAGAGTACAAAGCTTTTCCCTTTCTCTGAAATATTATTCCAAGCGCTTACAAAAGCTTAATATTAGAACAGCCAGAGGTATTTAATTACGATTTCAAAGTAACATGTTGTGTTGGGGGAAACGATCTCATGAATTTTTCTGTAGCAAGACTGAGTGACTAAAAGCCATTGCTGGGGTGAAGGAAACGGCGTAGCTTCTTAAACTGAGACACTCGGATTTATTCCTTATCAGCCACAGCCTAAGACCGGGGACAGCCCCCTGAGCCCAAATGGGGAGCTGTAATGCCAGGCAAGTGCCAGGGACACGTCCCCAGCAGGTCAGTGAGCTGGGCAGGGATGCTGTGCCTGGGGACAGGGAGAGGGACAGGGATGCTCTGCCTGGGGACAGGGATGCTGTGCCGGGGACAAGGATGCTCTGCCCAGGGACCAGCCATCTCTTCAAGCACCAGCACAGCAAGGGTGGCTTCTATAAGCAAAGAGGAATACCAGGCTCGTCCCAGCCCTGCTCCCTTGCCCTGCCACAGCCACAGGACGAGCCCGCAGGGACAGGAGCGGGACAGCAGAGCCCCCTGCTCAGCCAGGCTTCAGGTTGCCTCGAGAACTTGTGCAAGGAGCTGAGGCCAGCGCGGCCCAGAAAAACGTGTAATTCCCCGAGCTGAGCTATTACCTGCTGTAAGTGGCGGCAGAAGGATGGTTCTGAAACCACAGTGAAAATAACCCTCCTGGAAAAAAGAAAAAGAAAAAAAAAAAAAAAAAGAAATCAATACCGACACCAAGGAAAGAGCATCAGAATCCGAGACCATCAATTCCTGAGATAAAGAGTTGAAAGTCTCAGTGGGAGGACAGCCAGATCTAGGCTGAGAAACAAAACTTTGTTTCTTTTGCTGACAAATGACATTTTATGCGGAAGGACAAAGGAGCCAGGAGGACGCAGGCCTCGGTATGTGGCTGTAAGAGCTGCCCTTGAAGCAAGAAGGAGCAGGCAGAAACTTCACAGACGCTTCTGCACCTCTCCTTCCCCTTCCACGCTTGACAGGATTTTCCTCCAGCTGAAAACAAGAGATTTGTGCGATTTTGTGCCGTTTGGGGCACGTCACGGAAACGTATTTCAGCAAACCTTTTGCCACCCTGCTCTGAAGGGGTGACCCCCTCGGGAGGCTCACCCAGGGCTCGGGCACCCAGCTCAGCCCCATAGGACTGTCAGATCCGCACAGCCTGCCATCGTGGGCTGCAAAAGGAAAAGGCTCCATATGTACCAACTCCTTTCTACCTTCCACGTTGTTTGTCTGGAAATAAAAGCAGCCAGAGCAACGCGTTCGTTTTTTTAACGCCTTAATTTTTCTGTCAGATGCGTGCTCTTCCCTTCAGAAGCCCCGCGTTGGAAATGTTTTGCAGCAGCTCTTGAGCTTTTAAGGTAATCATATAAAAGATCCTTGACTGCATAAATGCGGCTAATCTGGGTAAACGCCTTTAAACATCTTTACATTTCTTGCTAATGGATTTCTAGGCAGCCCACAGGGATCCGCGCTCTAGAAAATAACGTAAAAAAAAAAATATAGTAAGTGTCTAATTTTTTTTTAATGCCTCAGATTTGTCATATATTGAGAAAATCCAGAGCTCTGGGCAGCGTAAGATCCTCATACTTATATAAGCAATGTTCCATTCTGTCATCACGCAACAAAACCCAGCCTTTCACTAGGGGCAAGCATCCAGTCGACGTTAAAATCCAGCTCAACTGGAGACAAATTACCACCTGCTATTAATTAGAGCCAGCTAGGAGGGATCCAGGCTCTGCTAGTCAGTGGCAGCACCCGCGGGGCAAGCTGCCCTGGGCTCGGTGTGCATACACGGGGAGCGAGCCCTAGTGGGGAGGATGCCACAATGGGCTTTTTGCTGCACAGAGCCAAGCAAAAGGTGAGCTCAAACCATTTTTTCAGGAGCAGTTCCTCCCCTTGCTGCTTACAAAGGGCTGAGCCTGTCACCTTCCCCTCCTGGCAGAGGAAAACCAGCAGGAACACGGGGCAGAGGGTGGCGTTGTCACCTCTCCGGGCTCCATCGTGCCTCGATGCTGTAGCGCTGAGCACCCCGCACTCCTCCTGCTCCGAGCGTGGGGCCAGCCCCAACGCCCCCGGGAGGCAGAAAGCACCCTATTTTAGGAGCTGTCTGATGCAATTAGCTCTGCGGAGGAGGAAGCCGGAGGAGTGCAGACAGGCCATCTAATTCTGCAGATTTATTACTGGAGTTAATTAGGCTCCCCGCGCTGCTCCCGGGGGACTGCTCGGTGCCGGTGGCGCACGGCAGAGCCGGAGCACGAGGCCGCGGCACAGAGGCCGCCTGGGCAAGAGCCACGCATGGGTCACTCAGATCAGAAAGGAGATTTTGAAGGATTAGGAAAAAAAAATAAAAAAAAGAAACAAAGAGAATCGGTTATCTGCGAGGAGGTTTCAGGCAGTCACACCTGTCGCATCAATCTCTGACAACACAAGTGACACAAATCCAGTCACATCCCAGTCCCTAACGGCAACGCAGATCCTGGCACGGCGCTGACACCGGGCGTCAGTGCACGGAGCAGAAGCACTCACTTTTTTTTTTCTTTTTCTAGGAGAAAATGATGGCTTGCATTCACCTGCCTAGCGCTGCTCCAGCAAACCCGAGCCAGCACACAGGCAGGCAGCTCTGCGTTTTGGGGGGTTCAGCACCAGGACAGACCCTGCCCTCCTCAGGCACAGCACGGCGCATCCCAAAACAGTCCGAGCAGGCAGGGGATGGGACCAGCACATCCCCAGGGCTCACAGCAGCCACCAAACTGATCACAACCTTAGTGCAGTGCAAAGGAATGAGAGCCTCTTACCCCTCCCCAGCAATGACCAGCACATCCTGCCCTGCGGGGAAGCTTTGCTGGTGGTGCTGGGCACAGGGCAGGACCCCAGCATGCTGCCTTTGCGCACACGGGCTGCTCTGTGCAAACAGAGCCTCTGCTTGTTATTTTTCCTGCCCTGGCTGAAACGCAGCATTTCAGGCTAAGAGCTCAGGTGTCTGAGCCTCTGAGAGCTGAGGTCTGTGATGGAAATGATGATACACCTCGAGTATAATGGTGCAAACAGCCATTATCATAATTTTGATACCAATTACATGTAATTTGAACAAAGGAGTTGTCCTAGCTTTGATTTGCTCTCCTTGTATTCCTGGCTGGTTTCATTAAAATCACTTACAGAGATTTGCAGCAGTTCTGTTTGAAGTGCTGTCATTAGGGTTTTCATTTGCAGTGGCGTCGGAAATAATTTCCCAGCGGGCTGTTTATGTTTTACCAAGGGCCGTGCAGCGTGTGGGCCAGCACTCGTGGCCAGACGGACGAGTCACAGAGCCAGTCCTGCCAGCCACAAGGCAGCGTGTTCCAGTAACACCACGCTGAATTTTGAACCCAAATCTTTCCAAATTAAAGCCCCACGGGCCAGGCTGTTCCCTGCTTCATGCCTGCACCACCTCAGATGGGGAACCCCAAAGTGTTAGCGCTTCTAGGGTCTGGGTGTCCCTGCTCTACAGCATGTCCCCTATTTGTGAACAGCTTTTTCACTTTTAAGTCTCTGCACTGAATCACCACTCAAAGTCAATCACCAAGTTTTCTAACTTTCTTGGCCCTCAGTAACAGGAAAATAAACCTCCCTTAACAAGGCGGGTGCAGCACGGCATGCCCCAGAGGATTCCCCAGGGGGAGCGGTGCTTCAGCTGCCCTTCAGAAGGCAATCAGGGATGCGAGCTGCGTGACGTGCTGATGAAGAAGGAAACACAGGGGCTCGCTCCGTAACGCCGTCCCCACCAGCCACTCACCAATTATTCCTCAGTCAGAGCCCGAGGGTGACGGAGAGGGCAGGCAGAGCGAGTCCTTCCCATTTGTCCGTGATAGAAGAGGGGAATGCACTTTGCAAATGACAATTAGCAATTTGCTCCAGCTGGGGCTAATTCCTAGATGCATTTTACTCTCCAGGACTCAACACTTGGGCAGACTCTAAATCAGGCACCAGCTCACTCTGTCCAGCTCCATTAAAGCTCCCTGGTAATTACGGAGCGCTGGGTGAGCCGTGGAGAGCTGGAAACCTTCCCAAGCCCGAGGGGAGCCTCTGCTCCGCTGCCAAAGAGCTGGGCTGGATGCAGCCCCTGGGGAGGGACCCCTAGGGAGATCCATTGCAGGGATCCCACCGGCTGCATCCCACTGATGGATGTGGAGATCCCCAGCCCCACACATGGCCCTGCACCTCCCCAGTGCGTGTTACTGGTGGCCGGGAGAAGCAAGGTGGGAGCACAGCCAGCAGCTCTGAAAGGCAATAAATCCTAATTCACTTTGATTATAATGGTGCGCTCACGTCCCAGGGCGAGATTGCCATGTAGGTTTGCAAAAATACTGCTTAAATAAACAGAAAGGGAGGAAATGTGGGAGAGAGCGTCCAATCTGCATTATAATTAGGGGAGAGAATAACAAATGGCAGAAACAACCTGTTCCCAGCTGCAGCTGCAGTTTGTTCCTGGTGCATCTGAAAGGCCATGCACCATCCATAGCAGGAGCCTTCTCTAGAAATGCGTGAGTGTTTCATTCAGGAAGGGTGGCAAGAAAAGAACATCTTTCTGCATGTATTGCAGATTCCCCTACAGTGAAGCATCAGGGAGAGTTTTCTCAATCTGGCTGCTCGTCACTGTGCTCAGGGCTGGGAGTCCAGAGGCAGAAGCAGCAGCCTGAAGCCCACAGAGGGTCACGAGGGGGAGAAGCAGAGCAGTTGGTCTCGGGAGCTGGAGCTCACCTTGGCATGGGGCTGAGCCCTGTCCCTGCCCAACTCCGCTCTCCTCTGCACAGAGCTCAGAGCCACCAGGGTCACCACCTGGCCACCTGGAGCTCAATGGATGCACTTGGACTTCTTCAAACCCAGCCTAATTTATCTGTAAACCTTCCTAATGAGGCTGATAGCATAGGAATGGCGAGAAAGCAGCATTATTATCTGTAAACAGCAGAGCCTGACAGCATGTTTAATCACAGGCTGCGTAACGGCAACATCGGTGGAGGACGAGATTAGACACTTCTCCAATTAGTCATACATCAAAGGCACGAGCGCCGAGCCTGAGAGCCACTTAACCCACCAACAAGAGGAGCAAAGACCCTTTTTTTTGCTCACCGTGGGCTCAGGGACCTGCAGGGTTGGGTGCCCCCAGCTCCCCGTGTGCGTGGGGATGGCACAAAGCAGAGCCAAGGAGAGCTGCAGCCCCCCCGTCCCGGGCACCCCTGCTTTCTTCCAGCTCTGCAAGCTCCTAACAGGATTTTGCAGCCCGTGGTGGTGTGCTAATGGGATAGAGAGGTAAAGAGTTCATCCTCCTCACTTTTCTCTGCTGCTTTCTCTTTTTTCCCCCCTCAGCATCTCTTTCTCATCCAGGTCTTCTCCGGCTCACCTTTCTGAGCCCAAACGCTCCTGAGGTCTACAGGTTAAAAGCGCTAATAACAGCCAGAAATTATTACGAGCCCTATTTATCACAAAGCAGATGGCATCTAACAGGCAGCAGCCTCGGGAGCCAGGACCATTGATCTCCAAGAAATGCTGGCAAAGCCACAGGGTTTTTCCTTTGACATCTCATGGGTGATGCAGTGGCAGGACAAGGGGAAGCACAGAGCGGGGAAAGCAGCTCCAGCGGGACTGTCATCCACAGCGTGCAGGCTTCCCTGGAAGCTGCAGATGCCCCA